AGTTAGCCGCTTCTGATCTAGTTTGTGTTTTCTTAGTTTCAACTGATTCCTTTACACTCCACACACCAGCCAGCGAGCAGAGCCACAACCTGCTCCCAGGAAAACTCCTCTGGCAACCGCAGCCTCCCTCTCAAACAGGGGCAGCCCTAGGCAAGCTGCCAGCAGCCGGTGCCCTAGATGAACCATGCCCAGCTCCCGAAATGCCGCAGGGTGGGGACAGCAGTGCTCAGGCAGGGGTACGGGAGCCAGACAGCAGGTCAACAGAGTGAGCAGGAGAATGTCATGGCTACCCCACTGTCGCACCACATCTCAGTGTAGCCCCAGTCCAGCAGAAGGTGTGGACGACAGTCGGGACACCTGGGCTGCAGTTAAAGTTTCCAGAAAGCTAAACGTCTTCTTTGCAACACTGGGCGTGGAATGTCATGAGAGATCCCACGAAACACGATGTGCACGGACAGCGGACTGGCGGCTCGTGACCTGACGCAGCCCCCCTCTGCCTGCGAGTCAAGTCAAATAGGAGGTTAGAGCTCAGACAATGACGGGGGAGTCACCCCTTGTATCTTACAGGTGACTATTTCAAATATATATTCATAGCTCAGGTTTTTGCATGTACTGGTGGGTGCGCATCCACACGCAACCTCCATAGAATCATAGAACACTAGAACCTCGAGGGGTCATCAGTCCAGTCCCCGGCCCTCACGGCAGGACCCAGCACTGTCTGGCCCATCCCTGGCAGGCGTCTGTCCAGCCTGCTCTGACATATCTCCAGGGATGGAGCCTCCACAACCGCCCTGGGCAACTTATCCCAGTGTTTCACCCTTATTAAACCTTATTGGTGTTTCCACCTGCCCAAGGACAGAGAATGTTACCGAACCCCTGCTAGCGCTCTCGCTAACACCTGCCCTGTGAGTCTGGAGATGGAGAGCTGGGCTGGCTCATGCACCCCAACCTTGCTACCTAACTAAGTCAGGGCCATTGACCCCCAGGAGCCCTTTTCTTTACCTGCACACCCCGGTAAGTCACACGGTAGAGTCAAATTGCCTGCAGGAGAGACGCCGTCCTGCCTCCTCCGTTCATATTCCCTGGCTGCATACAGAGACACCAGACTCTGCAGGCTGGACAGGAGATTGGCTGTCACCACTCGCTGCCTTTTCCAGGCAGGGGCAGACAGTTCCCAGGGGAGGGGAGGGAGGGGAAGAGAGAAGGGACTTGACCAACAGCAGACCCTGGGACATCAGAGGCAGCAGGGAGACAAACCCACCTTGCACTGCAAACTAGTGCCGGCCCCTAGGAGGGAAGCAGAGAGACGAGGATGTTCAGATTTCGCTCAGCAGGAGGGTTCTGCCCCTGCCCTGGGGACGTGCCGCCCTCTGGCCCCCAGAGGTGTCTCTCCCCGCCCACCAACGTCCCCGCTTTGTTTCAGTGTTGGGATAATTCCCAGCCTGCTCCTGGCCTGTCCCAGCCCTCAGGTCAGACTCAGCTGCTGCCTGCCCTGTGCCTGCAGCCTGGGTAGCTCACTAGGAGCACAGAGCCAGCTGCCCACCTGGCCCGGGAGCCGTGGGGCTGTCGCCTCTGCTGCAGGGACCGTGTCCGCCCTGTCGGTGCTTTGCGGGGAAAGTCCTGCGCTCCCTGTGTACGGGGGGAGGGTACGGCCCTGCTCAAGGGACCCTTCCCTGCCTCCTGCCCGACCCTGGTGCCGTGGGCCAGTGACAGGGTCTGAGTCCCCTCCTGCTCCCTTTGCCCAGAGGCCTCCCTGGCCTCGCAGCCCCTCTGCCTGGCTGAGTCCTCGTCACCCCCCCACGGCTGGGCAAGGGTTTCTGGAGGGGCAGGTTGGCCCCCACCCTTGTTGTGGTCCCACAGGGCAGAGGCCAAAGTGCCCCACTCACTGGGGTTCTCCCTGCCCCACTGACCAGGGCCGACAGTCACAGCGAGGGCCAGTCACTCACCAGGAAGAGACCAGGGAGAAAATGGAAAAAGTGTCTGGAAGACCCACCCCCCACCCTGCGCCAGGGACCCTCACTCTGCCATGGCAGGGGGGGTCCCAGGCCTCCTCCCCAGGCCCCAGCTGCTGCAGGGCTGATGGGGTCCCCTGCGGTTTGTTCTGTCCAGAGGGAGCCGGCAATGTCGACAACGGAGGCAGAAAAACCAGTGACGCCAGGTGCCCCAGAGGGAGGGAACCAAACGGAATCATCCAGTGACCCCTCCCCTGTCACCCATTCCCAGCCTCTGACAAACAGAGCCTAGGGATTGATGGACCTGGCCTCCATGAATCTATCCAGCTTTTTTTGGAACCCTGTTAAAGTCCTGGTCTTCACCACATCCTGTGGCGAGGAGTTCCACAGGTTGACTGTGCGCTGTGTGAAGAAAAACTTCCTTTGGTTTGTTTTAAATCTGCTTATTAGATAGTCAGCCAGTCACTCCCCCCTTTGCTGCTTCCTTCAGATAGAGGCAGCAAGTGGTGGCAGAGAGAAAAAGGGGGTCTGGAAAAGCAGCTGTGCTTCACAGAGCCCAGTCCCCAGCTGACCCCAGGCTCCATGCGGTGTGCCAGCTTTGAGAGGCGTGCCAGCGGGGGCTCTTGTGTATTTCAAAGCGGAAGTGCAGCCTGGAGCCTGGAGCCTGGGGCCAGCCCGGGACTCTGAGTTCCCCTCTGATCCCAGGCTCCATGAGGGACCTTCTGTTTTTAAATGCACAAAAGCCCCTGCTGAGGCCCTTGGACATTTCAAAGGCAGAACACGGACGTGCCTGTCGAATAGTTGATGGAAATTCCATCCACAACTCGACTAGTCAATGAATCAGTTCTGAGCAGCTGCTGTGTGTGTCACTGCCTGTGCGAGGGAGCAGGGGGAGACGGCGCTGGACTTGGGGACCCCCGACACAGACCCCACATTTGCAGCACAAGCCCCCCCAGCCCCTGCGGCAGAACGGGCCTGGTCTCAGCACGACCCCCTCTGGGTGCAGATCTCAAAGCTCCCAGCGGCCAGGAGCAATTGCCGCGCCGGGGGCCGGCCCAGCCGCACGCTGACGGGACCCCCCTGCAGCTCTGGGACGCTGCTAAATCCAAAGGGGTCTGAGCGTCTGGTCCCAGAGCGTTTGCGCTGTCACTGCCCGGCCCGCAGAGAAGGGAGAAACGCGGCGACGCCGGACCCCTGTGGGCAGCGGGAGCAGGCACCGGGCTATTGCCTACCTTGAACTTAGCCTCTCTCATGCTACTGATTGTGTGAATTCCTGGGTCCAGGGATGCCTGTCTACGTCCATGTTCTCGCTCGCTGCCGGGTTCTCTCCCTGCCGGTGAATGGACGGTGGGTTATTGGCACCTGCTCCCGGCTGGGGG